ATTCCGTGGAGAGAAGTGGAAAAAGCTGTTTATTTAACAGAAATTGAGTAATATTAAATAATAAAACCTCTTGCTGTTCAATGGGATGGTAAGTCTAGGAAGAAAAATCTTTTTTCATGTGGTGCAGCTCGGCTCCAGCGCTGGAAAAGTGCCGAGGCCCAGGCCCTGGTGGGCCACAGGCGTGAGCTCCCGGGGTTTGGCTGGGTGTTCAGTCCAGAGCAGGCTTGCACAGATCCAAGAAAATTGGGAAAAAAACAAAGGTCCAGGGAACTCCTCTGTCTCAGCTAGCTAAAACTAACTAAAAGCCAGAGAGAAACTCTGTCCCGCTGTCTGTCCGTGCTGCAGACAACACAGTCCAGGAGCAGGGTGTGTGGGAGTGATGTTTGCCTTAACACACTGCGCACTTCTTCTTCCCCCTCTCTTGCTTTCAAAGACAGTCTTAAAGGTGCAGGACTTAATATATAACATAAACCAGACGATTGGGGATACCAGTATCATAAAGTCACCCCAGGACACTGTGACATCACAGCCACGGCAGCCTGAATTTCAGCTCTGATGTAACACCACAGCACTGACAGACTCATTATTCCCCGCTCTGTGACATCACAGAACAGACAGAACCGATTAAAACCTCCCTTTGATATCATAGCCATGACAACCCCAATTCCATCTCCTTTGTGGCAACAGACAAGTCATAACACCTGTGATACTTTCTCTGAGACTCCACAGTGTGATAGCCCCAGTTTTCCCCTCTCTGTGACATCACAACTGTGGGAACCCCAATTTATGCCTGCCTGTGACAGCACAGCAGTCAAAGATGCACTTTCCACCCATTATGACATCACAGCACTGACAGGCCAAATTTCACCCTTTCTGTCACCCCACAGTTTGAACAAGCCTAACTTGAACAAGCCCCTATCTGTAACATTTACAGCGGTGATAGTGCCAGTTTTCTCCTCTCTGTGACATGATATCTGTGATAAATGGGCCAGGAGACCAGCTCGTTTTAAAAAGGCCTTTATTAAGCAGGACAGCTCTGGGGTGGGGGCCCGAGGGGTTGCGCACACCGCCACTGCTCCCACTGGACACCGCAGAAGAGAAGGATCTGTGCAGCTGTGTCACTAGGGCAGAGCTGGGCCTTCCTTCCTCACGGGAGTCCCCAGGAAGACTCCTTCTTTAGGCCTTGTAGTCTAGGCTGTCATCCCAGTCGAGTCTCCTCGAGGTTATGTTGGCCTCTGGAAAGAAGTCAGGGGACTCCTCTGGGTCTTCCTTGTTAGATGGTGCTGGTTCTATTCCTTCCCTTTTGCGTGGCTCGTTGTTCTGGGGTTTTTTCCAGTCTGGGTGCATCCCATAAGTCTCTGGTCTCTCTCGTTTGCATAAAAGTCAGTATGTCATCTTCCTCCTCAGGGCTTGTAAGAGACGGTCCGAAGATTCCCTCATCTGTCTCACAACCGTCTCAAGGACAGAGACTGAGACCCTGAATATCACAAGGGACTTGGTTTGGGGGTTTGGGCCTAGCTGAGATGGATGTTTGCTCAGTGATTGTTTGCAGGTGGTTGCACGGTACACTGCTCTCGTTCCTGCTGGTGAGCAGAGGCTTGGTAACCTGCGCAACGGGTTTTCCACGACTCATGGCTCTCATTCCTGCTGGTGAGCAGAGGTTTGTGCCTGGTACCCGGTGCAATGGGTTTTCCACAACACCTTGTCCTTGTTCCTGCTGGTGAGCAAAGACTTGCAAGACATGGATCTCTCTGTACCCTACACCTGCTCCCTGCGCAATGGAATTTCATCACAATGATCATCAATCTCATCTGGTTTTGGCCCTGCGCCCCTCGCTTTGCAAAAGACTATAAAATTATACCCCAAACTTACCTTCCTTTGAGATCTCCCCAACGGACAGAAGACTCTGCGTCGTTGGACGGCTGAGTGGACTTCAATGTTGGTAGCTATAATCCCCTTACTCTCTTTTCCTTATGCTTTGCTTTCTCTTTTCTTTCCCTCTATCGCATATTAGTGCTGATGAGCACTCAATAAAGTGTGTTTTCTTGTTTAAGTCCTTGGTTTGCTGATAATCTTTTGTACTCTAAGACCGGCTAAAAGAACCACATCACGAATCCCACCTTGCGGATCGTGACAGTGCCTCAGGGAAAAAAAAAATGAAATTACGGGACTAACATCCTAATCTTCATTTCTTGTATCAGAGGTGAATTCTGAAGGCCCAGAGTCTACAATTCACCAAGTGTTTGGGAGGTCCTGGACAGAGAAGTCCATTTCGGGCTACTAAAAGCACTGGGTACTACATACCTTGTAGACAGCATCCACCTTGAGAGTAAATCCATCAACTCCGGGCATGCTGCTCACCGAGTGGAACTCGGACAGCTTGGAAGCAAAGTGGGCGTCAAAAGGCACATCATGGAAATACTTATCCGTCACTTCTGGCTGGTTTTGGTCCTGGAAAGTCAGAGAAGTGTCGTGAGGGATGCTGTCTGCTTTCCCAAGGGAGACTGGAAGCCAGAGCCCCACCAAACAGCTGTGCCAGGGATCTAGTCCGAATGCCCCATCTCCACACCTACACGTGGGCACCGATTCAGGAACACACTCAAAGCGTGGGAAAAAACTGATCTGGTGTTCACAGCTTGCAGCAGCAGCAGCACAAAACATCCCCCACAGGCTCCCTTCCTCATCCCTTTGCAGCCACCACCTGCTGGTTGCCAGAGCAAATCCCAAACAGGAAGAAGCAGGAGCAGAGCACTCACCAGGAGGAGGAATCGGTGTTTCAGGTACTTGTGGGGCTGGATGCAGCTGTACTGGGGACCCTGGTTGTAGACGGTGCCCGTGGGGTCGAAGAGGGGCACGTGGCCAGCCCTGCCTGTGCACAGGTGGACCTTCTCCAGCTGCAGCTTGTAAGCGGCGTTGAGGTTTTGTTCGGGGTGCCAGAGCACACGCCCGTACAGGATCTGCCCTGGGGAGGTCGGGACAAAGAGGGGCAGGTGAAATTTCCCAAGCAGGAAAACGCTGCTAGAGCCAAGTGTCCGTGTTCAGAAGGGTTTGAGTTGTTTGGGAAGGGCTCGGTGTGTGGGACTGACAAAACGTGGTGCCAGAGCACGCTGTTCTTTCACAGGGCTGTAAGATGTCAATTACTGCTGTAGAAGAGGCAAAGCTACATGTGGGTTTTGCCCTTTCCTCTCCAGGGAATGGAAGCTGTGAAAGCAGGAACACTGGGCACAAGCAGAAGAGGAGAGGTAAATCCTACCCTTGGAAAAGCCCCCTTGTAATCCATTTCTGCCAGAGACCTTTCTGATTTGGTGGGGTCCATTAGAAAAACCTTCTCGTTGTTACAGAGCTGAAACTCTGTGTTCAGGGAGTAAACAACTGGAATTGGGCGGTTTGTCTGCTGGAAGGAGATCGGGATCAAAACCTGCAATTGGGACAAGGAAGAACACAAAGGGGAGATGAGGTTTGGACAGGTGTGCACCCCAAAGGGGCCGAGCCTGCCCTCCTGCCCTCTTACCGCTCGGGAGCGTGAGCCGTGCAGGGCAGGGGCTCGGCCCCAAGCTCTGCCCACGGCTGCGTGGGCTGCACCGTGCAGAGGATCAGGAAGATGGTGTATTCTCCAGAGTAAATCTTCCTGGGAACAGACAGGAGACCCTGCAGTCACCAAGCAGAGCTCAAAGCTCTTCACCCAGGGCAGCACCTCTCCCTTGCCCCAGCAATGTCATCCAGCAGTCCCCGAGGGACAAGTGTGACTCTGGGATCTGTCTATCCACAGGCTTCATTGCTGGAAAAATTCCTTTCCAAGAGGCTGAGCTGATTTTTCTCTCAGTACAACAGTGCTCCAGCTCTGGCCAAGCTCCTGAGCATTCCGTGCTATTGCTGGCGTGGCTGCTGAAGGGGTGCCAGGGAGAACGTGGTGCTGTGGGGGAATCTGCCGGAGGGGACTGCACCCCCAACCCTCACCTCAGTTGTAGGAGCTGGTTGCTCTCCAGAGCTGGTAGGGAGAATCAAAAGTCTGAGCGCTCCACAGCAGCTGCAGGGCAAATTCGATGCCTCCCAGGTGCTCTGGAGTTACCAAAGAGGACCTGACATCTGGCAGGCTGTGGTGCTCCATGACAAACAGCCCTGGGGGAGGACAAGGAGGTGATGGGAGGCAGAGCGCGGAGAGGCCCCACCTCGCAGGGGCAGAGGGGCTCCCGGCGGGGACGGGGACTCGTTCCGCTGCCTGTGCCGTCAGAGCAGAGCTCTGTGTGACCCTGCTCTGTGTCCCTGCCAGGATCACTGCCCTCACCTCTGAACTTGGCCTGCGTCTTGAACTCGATGACCGGCCGGTCGTCCTCGCGGATGTAGATGCGGATTATCTGCAGGCGAGCCGAGAGCACGCTGTCCGTCTGGATCCCTGCAAGGACAGTGCCAATGGGAGCCCACACAGCACCCTCGCTCTCCTCTGCTGGGCTCTGCCAGCCCCAGAAGTGTTTGGGACACCTCCATAAGGCAGGGTTCAGCTGGGATCACCCTCCAGTGAGCCAGCTGCACGCTCCCTCCGTCAGCCATCGGCTGCCTAAACCCCCCGCAAGCACAGAGGAAGGCAATATTCCGAGTTCCCCGCTCCCTCAGGACTCTGGGGGCAGTGCAGGAGCTAAGGGGAAAACATGAAGGAACCACTTCTTCCATAGCCCTTGGAGTGCCTCAGGCTCACCTGTCCTCCAGAGAACGGTGTCTTAGAAGAAGGAGAACTCCATCTCGGTGTGGTGCTCCAGGGAAGCCCAGCCCCTCGGTGCTGTCACATAGATGTAGGACATGTAAAGAGGGACGTGGACTGTCAGGAAGGACTGGGCAGAGTCCCTTACCTGGCAATAAAACCCCAAAAAGGGGGTTGTGCACCTTCCAGTGAAGTCAGAGGTGACTCTGGATGTTCTTTACGTGCAGGTACCTCAGACAAACCTGCGTTGTAATCCAGGGGCAGTGCTAAGGCTCCCTGGGACCATGGGACAAAGGAACTCTGGGCACAATTTCACCTCAAAACCCCCCTGATTTCCAAGGCTGTGAATTAAAAATGAGCAATTCTGCTTGATCAGGCCTCCCAGAGCTCTCCATTTATTATCTGCAGAGTGCAGCTGTACTTTGCAGGCCCTGGACTTTGCAGGCCCTGGAGAATTCGGGGAGATGTTCCAGTCTGGCTGGGGCCAGGCTCCACATGCTCCACTGGGCAGTTTCTCTGGCCAGGCGGCTCCTCTGGGTTTGTGCAAACAATAGGAGCTATAAAAGGAAACTTCATGAACTAGTTCCAGGCTGGCAGGAATTAACAGAGATGATGCTGGTCCAAGCAATGTGGCTGGGAATTTAATGGAAGAACTTGGGGGAAATGGAGTGGGCTGCAAATGGATAATGCAGCCAGGAGAGGGAAGTGAGACACCCCAAATAAGGAAAGCCACTCATTTCTAGAGGAATATTTTTGGCTTTAGGTCTCTTAATTAGGAAATGAGCTAAAATATCCCATGTTGTGGAGCATGGACTGAGCTGCCTCTGCTCTGTCCTCTGCTCATTTCTCTTGGCCGAGAACACAGTCAAAATTGTAAAATAGAGCCGAGCTGAGAACGTTTTGTATTTCCAATATGGCCCTACATGAAAAAAACCAGTATTTTCCTGGCACTCTGAAGATTTAGAGAATAAAATAAATGGGAAATGAATGAAATGGAAAATAAATTAAATAAATGCACACAGCACTGTTTTCTTCCAGGTGAGGGGGCGGGGGGGGAAGCCACGCTCCACCTGTGCAGGGCAGAGCAGCAGCTCCACACAACGCAGAGCTGTGCCTGAGAACTGTGACAGATCTGGGATACCTGGAGAACTCTGGATGGGCCTCTCACCTGGAACTCAGCGGTGACAGAGCCCCCACACACATCAGTTAACTCGGTCATGTCATAATAAGTGTCAAAGGTCCAGATGCAGCTCTTGAGGTTGAGGGGCTGGTACATCTGGATGCTCATGGGCTCCCTCACCGCAGGCTCCAGCTGGTAAGGGCGGTCGTAGCCCAGGCCCAGCACAAAGCTGTCCTGGGTCACCTCGTCCAGGAACCCTGTCTCTGAGGGAGAGTGTCGTTCCGATTGGGAATGGCTATAAAGAACGACATAAACTCTCAAGGGAGTCACAACACGAGAATTCTTTAGTTTATTGCTCTAGGCTTGTCTTATAGACAGATACATGGAAAAGTACAGAAAGGAAACTCTTATTGGTTAGCAAAGTGCTACATCACCATCATTGGTCAGGGGCACACTACCCCCCTGAGTTTCTCCTGCAAGGGAAAACAAGAGGACAGACAAACAGCACCTGGCAGTTGTTTTCTGTCTCTGAGGATTGTTTTAATTCCTTCTCATATTTTTCCCAGGCTACTTTCTCAGGCAGCCTGAGGAGCTATGCGGCCTGTAATTTGTACAGGCACTGTGGCTCAGATTTAGCATCCATAATTTACCCTTTCTGTTAGAAAAATTAAAAAGGCAGTGTTTGTCACGTCCTGCTGGGCCCTTGCAGGAGAGAGAACAAACACAGCACAAGAGGTTTCTTTGCTAGAACTTTGAATGGATGCTGATCTAGAATTTTGGTTTACATTTTGATGTTTAAGAATTGTTCTCCTTGCAAGGACTTGATGGTTGAGTCTAATATTTCTAATTCAGTGAATTAATACACACACGATATACAACACTGTTAGTCTGTTCGAATTGACAGTCTAACTTGTCAATAGAGTAGTTTGAAAAAACACCAAAGTGATAAAAACAATGCACAATGCAATTTATGATGCTTTGATCCCCCCTTTTTATCCCTTTTTTTTTT